GTTTTATCAGCTATTCTTGTCTTAGCGGCTATAACAGCTGCTAACGGTTTCAACTTCTGTCCTAAAATACAAGAGATTAACTGGGAAATCGAACTGCTATTACCACATTGGGAATGCAATAAATTCTACCAATGTACCCACGGGAAACCTGTCGAGATGATTTGCCCGAAAGGGCTTTACTTCAGTATCATTAAAAACAAATGCGATTGGAGAGACCTCGTTAGATGTGGGGACAGAGTCGTACTTGATAGACCGGAACATGATGGTCTTGAAATACCACAAACTACAGAATCACCAGAAAAGAATAACACCGTTGTTGAACCTCAGAAACCTGAAGGTCCAGAAATTGAATTACTTCCCAATGGATGTCCAGTAGACCCTGAGATACACTGGTTGTTACCTAATGAGAAGTTCTGCAATTTGTTCTACTATTGTGTGGAAGGCGAGAGAGAATTAAGACGGTGTCCATTCTGGTTACATTTTAATAGGAAACTTCAGGTATGGATTTTCTGTTTGAATTATAATGAGGACTATATAAGAGAGCTAGCTTTCCCCTGCGAGTCCGTTCGCGTGGTATGAAACAAAAGAAAGCCTATGTGTTCTTCAATACGAACCTTTTATATCTATGCCAAATTTCATCGAAATCCTTTCAGCAGTTCAGGATACAAACTCTAACAAATTTTCTCATATATAATGTTAGTTAGATTGTAAACCATGCTTTAGTTAACCGGTAAAACGATTAATTGTGGTAATCTAGATTTTTTAGGTATTCTAAAAACGAATTATGCGTTTTATCCCACAGGTGTGTGACTGGCCGAAAAATTCTGGATGTATAGAGATATTCGCTGAATAGCTGCTGATGCTGAAGTGAGCCGTGATCAAGTGACGGAGTTTAATAAAATTAAATTTATAAGCTATCTAGTTAAAAGTACTCAATATTGTTATTAATTTAAATAAATCTATTTATACCAATTCGATTTTTGATTACTTACTTTATTTATAAGAAGGTATAGTTAATTTTTAAATAATCAATAGAAATATTGTTCTTGTACAAAAACATGTTATAGTTTGTTTAAATAAATAAATGACGCATATTTAGTATCGAATTCAATTTGTATGAAGGTAAATACCGTACTTAATAGACAGGTACCGTAGTGACGAACAAACACGCATAGCGAACAATTACGACCTATCGATATTCGGTTTAAATAATTATCAAACTCAACTAAAATTATCATTTTCTTATTAACTAATTTAGAGGATAATTGTATTATTGATTATAGTGTAGAGAATTTAATGATGACAGAAATAATAGCGAAATCCAATTCGAATACGTAATAAACATTTATTTACTCTCATTATCTGTTATGGTCGTTATTAATTTGAGAAAACAGTGTTTTTTTATTTCATAAGTTATAACTATAAATAATCCCAACTTCTATAAAAATAAAAATCGATAATCGATAAGATTACTGACTGATTTTACACAACCCATCCCTACTAAATTTGAAGTGAATTGTCAAACTAATTTAAATTATTTAGACACACTATAGTTCATTATTTTACTGTTGTATTAAAATGGCGCTAGGGAAGTACCCTTCTAAAGAATTAAAAAATTAGATCAATAGAAACATTACTGGGAATAAGAACGAATGAACGGTAGCATCCCCCCACTATACTAGTTCATCGGCTGCCTACGTCTATTGTTGTGTGTTCTAAATTTTGTATGTATTCACGTAAACACTACAGGGCTGATTTCAAAAACTCTTTTACCATTAGAAAGGTAATTTATCTGTGAGTGACAAACGCTATGTTATTATTATTATTTACTAGCTGTTGCCCGCGACTTTGTCCGCGTGGTATTAGAAAATATACGAACTATATAAATAAAAAGCTACGTGTCCCTCGGAAACCGGACATTTTTCGAGGATGAACCTTATCCCATGTATACTCAAGACTTTGCTTTATATCCGTGCCAAATTTCAATAAGATATGTTGAACAGTTGCAGAATGATCGAGTAAACATTAAAAAACTAAATTAATTTATTACTAAATTATTTCATTAATGAATCCCACGGGAACCGTAACTAATCCCGGGATAAAAAGTAGCCTATGTGTTCTTCCAGACTATGCTCTAAGCCTAATGCCTAATGCCTAAGCGTATGCCAAATTTCATGGAGATCCGTTCAGCCGTTTAGGCTACAAACGCTAACAAACATCCATCTAAACTTTCGCATTTATAATATTTAATTTAATATATGATGTTCACGCAGGCGAAGTCGCGAGCAACACTATTGTATTAAAATGTTGTACTTAATCACAATGGAAAATAAAACGAATTAAAAAGATGCCTTTGATTTACTTACATTGTTTTTTCTTAGCTTATGCGAGTATTATTAAAAGTTAGATTTTTCCTTGCAAATCTAAACCTTTAAGATTACAACTAAATTACTCTATCGTTTGCATGAAAATGCGATTTAATTGCAAGCCATAGATTGACTGGCGTTAGGTCTTTAAATGCTTTTTCATGTAAGGGATTCGTGCTAGCGATCCGCCTGAGCTTCGCTTGGATGGTAAAAAATAAACGTCTGTTATCTTTTCTGTCATATCCATACTCAGTGATAATCACCACCACCATCACCACCAGCTCACTATACGTCCCCACCGAGGGGCTCGGAGCCTACCCTAAATTAGGGTGATTAGGCCATAGTCAATCACGCTGGCAAGTGCAGGTTGGTTGACTTCACACATATCTTTGAATTTCTACGCCGATGTGTGCTAGTTTCATCACAATGTTTTCATTCACCGTATGAACGACGGGTAAATTATGTACATATGAAATTCCAAAATCGAAAATCACATTGGTACATGGCGGGATTCGAACCCAGGACGTGTAGATTACAAGTCAAGTGCTCAAACCCCTGAGCCACCGACGCTCGGACTAAACTAAACACTATGTACTTATTTTTTATGTGTATTTAGCTCTTGTCTTAAACAGAATCATACGTAACTTAGGCCCTTGTTCGACCAAATTACATCATTCTTTTTGAGGTAGCACAGGGCCGGTTGCAGCATTACCGGCGCGCTGGGCAAGATTTCTACTGCAACAAAAACCCATAAGAAAAAAGTTGCTCTTGAAATATATGTCTGGCGCTCTCCGTCGTACCTCGACCTACCTTAACGCCGGCACTACATAGCCCTTGCCCATCTCTTTAATGATTTGCACATTCATACGTTACTCATCCACAATTATTATTTGTCGGTTTTAAATATTGCCACATTTTCTTTTTTTTTACTAGTTTTAAGGTTGATGTATCTAAGATTTCATTTGTAGCTTGTTTTTGTGGCAATAAAAGTCCTATTTATTTATTTATTTATTTAAATATAAGAATAGAGGTGTGTTATATCTTGATCGTAACGAATCATCTAATCACGTCACATCTACACAAAGCAAAGATAAAGCCTGAACTAAAATTAAACGATTAACAAAGTCATTAACATAGGCTATAAACCTTTATCGACATTGTCAAACAATTGAACGATAATTTAAGTTTATATGTCTAGAATAAAATGACTAATAAATAGGGTATAAAACTGCATACGACCCTTACACAGTATCTGTTGCAATTGAAACTTTCGGAGTAAACATGCAATGTAAGTGAAAGAAACATTTTTTAATAATTAATGTTAAGAAATATTTAAGTGCCAATTTTTATGGTTAAGAATACGGACATTCGAACACGTGGTAGAGTTCAAATCCTGCAATTAGAAGCCTATAACTGTAATGGAATAGTTAAAAGATTTACTAAAATCTATACTAATATTATAAAGAAAAAGATTTGTCTGTTTGTATGTATCCAATTAACTCATAAACTACTGGGCTGAATTCAAAATAATTAACCATAAAAAACTACGTTATCAGTGACAGACATAGACTTAATTTTTTTTTTATTCTAAAATTTCACACGGGTGAATTCGCGATTAACAGCTAGTTTCAAGTAATCTAATAATGTTTAAAATAATTTTTGTTTTCAGTCATAACAGCAATTTTCTTCCTAGCCGCTGCCGTAGCGGGTAGCGGTCTCAATTTATGTCCCAAAATTCAAGAAGTCGATTGGGAAATAGAATTATTATTACCGCATTGGAAATGCAACAAATTCGTTCAATGTACCCATGGGGAGCCTATCGAGATGTCGTGCCCAGATGGACTTTACTTCAGCGTTATTGAGGGCATCTGCGATTGGAGGGAAAACGTCGATTGTGGATTTAGAGTTGTCCCCGATGTGACGAAACCTGAAGATGTGAAGCCAACGGAAACTACCATTACAATTGAAGAGAATATAACAGAAGAAAGCAAACAAACAGAACCTGACACTACAGTAGATGAAGTCAGTATACCAGAGGAAATCGAGACTGAAAAACCAGATCTTCCAGTGATTGAGTTTCTTCCAAATGGATGTCCAGTGGATTCCGAGGTTCATTGGTTACTGCCGCATGAGAATTTCTGCAATTTGTTCTACTATTGCGTGCAAGGTGAAAGAGAGATATCAAGTTGTCCTTTCTGGTTGCATTTTAATTGGGAATTGCAGGTAACTATGACGTTCTTTTTTTGAAATTTTCTGTGTAATGTCAATTGAGAATGCCATAGATTAAATACGAGATTTTTTTTTAAATCTTGACTTTTATTAAAAACAAAAATTAATTCTGGAACTATAGAGTTTACAGCGACTATTTCCTTTATCCGATTGTTTATTTTGTTTTTCTTAAATTGTGGTTTAAATTGTTAAAATAACAATGTGTTCTTTTTTTTTTTCAGATTTGTGACTGGCCAAGAAAAGTAGATTGTATAGAAGCCAGGGACTAGTTGATCTTGTAATTTTTCCTGTTGTACCAAATTCTTGTATTTATTTGTATTTAAACATTTACTCTAATTTATTATTATTAAAACGAAATTAACTGTAAGCATAGAGTTATTGTAAATTTTTGTATTTTTTTTTAACCCGTACTAAAATTTGTGAATTATTTTACTGTTTTCTTTTAATTAAATATATTTATGAAAGTAATTTGATTTTTATTACGACTTACTGTCACACACTTAATAGTTAATTGTTTACTAAGGGAGCGTTACAATTATGTCTTCACAAACTTTATAACGCGACTCGCGTGGTAATAAAAAAAAAAATAAAAGTAGCCTAGTATGTGTTCTTCCAGACTATTCCCTGCATCAGTGCCAAATTTATAATTTATAGAGATTCGTTTAATACTTTAGGTATAGACCTATTATAACAGTCTCTAGTTTATTAGAGTTTGTAGCCTAAACTATTATAGAATTAGAAACTTCTTCCAACAAAAGCTGAATAAACGTCATTAGCAGCTATGTATTTTTTAATTTACATAACCTAAAATAGTAAACGTAACGAAACTGATCAAATATATGTGAAATGACCTCGCATATCTAATAGTACGTTAGTTATTCAAATTACATAAATAATGAATTAAGTTTTAATGTTTGATGATAAGTTTATCTTGACATGTAGGTAATTAAAATAGCTTGATATATATTTGAAATGTATGTATGTAGGTTTATGCTGTAATTTTTTATTGTAATAAGACTACTATCATACCGCATTAAGATAGTTTCGAAAAATTTTAAGAACACGTGACTGACACACAGTTATTTTTAGAATAATTAATATCACCAACATCGTCTAAAACGTAACGTCAATTACCTTAGAATAGAATAGTGACAGAGCCCGCTTTTATGTCTTTGCACGAATGGGCCGGCTTGCCTAATGTAATACCACGACCACACAGAAGACAGGCGTGAAGTGGGAGTAATTCCGCGTAAGTCTGATGAGTGTGGTGCCGGAGGCCTTATTTTTGTCCCTTTCCCTTTCCATCCTTATCCTAAGAGGTAGAGATGGGAAGAAAAAGTAGATTTGACGGTAGAGGAGACGCATAGGAGGAGAAAATTTGAAATAAGATATAACAGTTTTTTGTACATGTGAAAATAATTTTCACGTACTTTAATGTATCTAAAATGTACTTATTTCATTATTTACTTTAGTCGTTTATTACGTTTTGTTATGCGCGGCTTACAATCGGCCAGTACAGTTGCTACGCCATTGTATCATTGAAGCCAGTTGATTGACAGTCCAGTTATAGCGCTACTGACTATTGTACTGGCAGAATATAAACCGTGCATTACATTTAGTTTTCTTTAAAGTTTTTTTTTTCGTATATCAGTAATTGTAATTTTATGTTTATACACATGGAAAACAATAAAATAATAATTGTATCGTTAATTACTGTGTCAACAACACTATTATAAATTGATGTATAGATAAAGAATACATTTTTCTATTAACATGAAGATTGCATTAATATTTTAGGTTATTTTTCAATGTCACAGAATAATATTAAAAACATTAGTACAACGACTAAACAAAATGGAAGGTAAACTTTTATAATCAGTGTTAATTAATCAAGAGATTTAAAAGAATTTTAATTAATCCAAATTGTTACAGTTTTATTAACATTAATTATTATTCAGATGGTACAAAGTGCTGTTCATCAACAGAGCAACATATCTGACGCTAATTGGGAAATAGAACTAGTGTTGGCGCATGAAGAGTGTAATAAGTTTTACAAATATTTTAACGGGAAACCATTAGAGGTGATATGCCCTAAAGGTCTTAATTTCAATGTGAAATATTTGAGATGTGATTGGAAACATAATGTAGATTGTGAAGGACGTACTCCAGATGTTCAAAGCGATGATGAAATAACGAATAATGAGGAATCGGAAATTGATGATTTGGAAAATGAAGAAATAGACGCTGACAGTGAGAATGAAATTATTAATAATGATTTAGATTTCTTTAATAATGGATGTCCTGTAAATCCTTTGATACGTTGGTTGTTACCGTGTGAGGATAATTGTAATGAATTTTACAGTTGTTTTATGGGCATCAAAGTTAAAAGACAATGCCCACCGTTCCTACATTTTAATAGGAAACATCAGGTTAGTAAAACTTTAAACTGTACAACTCCAAGTTTTTCTTTAATAGGTATTTATTGAAAAACCGTCGTAAGACCTGTCACGATGTATGGATCCGAATGTCGGGCAGTAAAAGGGATGGATGAAAAGAGAATACATGCGGCGGAAATGCGAATGTTAAGATGGATGTGTGAGGTAACGAGTGGATAAGATACGAAATGAGTATATTAGAGTAAGGTTGAGTGTAGCCCTAGTGGTTGAGAAAATAAGGAGTAAAAGGTTAGAGTGGTATGGGCATGTTATGAGAAGGGATGAATCGCATGTTACAAGACGGACGTTGGATATGAATGTGGAGGGGTAATCAGGTAGAGGTAGACCTAGAAAGAGATGGAATGCGTGTAAAGTGACATGATCAAGAAGGGAGAGATGACTGAGATGACGGATGATAGAGTGCTTTGGAGGACGAAAACCGGGTGCGCTAACCCTATGGGAGTAGGATAAGGCAGAGGAGATGATGATGATTGAAAATTGTTGTTTGGAAAATTAATTGTTACTCTAACAAATTATAACTATGATGTTTGAAATCATACTATAAATAAATGTGAAAGTTTAGATGGATGGATGTTTGTTAGAGTTTGCAGCCTAAGCGGCTGAACGAATTTCGTTGAAATTTAGCTTACACGGAGAGGATAGTCTAGAAGAACACATAGGTTACTCAGTTTTGTTTTTTAATTCCAGGCTGATGGAGTCGCGGGCGAAAACTAGTTGATTTTATAAAGCATTCTGAGTAGAATATCTTTTCATTATTTTTTGTTAACATCTGTTTTTTTTCAGGTATGTGACTGGCCGAGAGCCGCTGGATGCGCTTTGTGAAAAAGAAAAAAAAATCAGGAGTGCCTAAAGAAAGAGCAAAATTGCAATTATAATAAAACACTTCTATAAATCACAGATTGTTTTTTTTATTACTCATATTCTATTTTTTGTGACAACAAAAATAAATTATATAAAAACTAGCTTTCGCTCGCGACTCCGTCCGCGTGGAATTCAAAAAAAACAAAAATAAGTAGCCTATACGTTCTATCACCTACATTCATGCCATACTTCATCGAGATCCGTTCAGCGGTTTAGGCTACCAATAGCTAAATAGTTAAAAATAAAAGAAGAGAAAAGAGAGGTTATTTATAGAAGTGTTAATTTTTATTTTTTAAAAGAACACTGAGAATAAACGTGCTAATTATTTTTGTATTTTAATTAGTTGACAAGTTTTAATCTACATTCTGTAGCACGACAGCGATAAGAAAATAAAAGATATGCTGAATTATGACGCATAAAGGAAAAGAAACAATTATTTCCTGGAACTATTAATCAAACTATGATTATTTATTATTCTAAGGGCCTGTCCCACCTCTGGCTGATAAAGGCTCAAAAAGCTTTAATATGACGTCTCTGTCAGATAAGGGAACAAAACCCGATATTTCCAACACATATTTTACACTCTGGATAGTTAACAGATGATTTACAATTTGGTGGGACAGGCCCTAAATGAAACAATTGTTCATTATCTCCCCTTATCCTATTCCCGTAAGGTCGGCGCAAAAGGTTTTCGTTCTCCAAATAACTCTATTATCCGTCATCTCAGTCATCACTCCCTTCTTGATCATGTCACCTTTCACACAATCCATCTCTTTCTAGGTCTACCTCTACCAGCATACCAACAACAAATGAAACAATTTATAACCAAAAAAGAATATTTTAATAAAAAAAACTAGATCTAGGGTGATCTGCAATATTAAGTCCATATTCGAGGTAGTTTTCATATATATTTTACATTTTGCGAGGCTCTAAAAGGGGGGGGGGGGATCCCGCACATGAAGCCCATCCTGTAATCTGTCTCTGTCACCATCCAGATCCAACCAATTAATTACATGGTAACCATCATTCCTTCTTTAAAAGCCGTCTTTTTGGCCACGTTATATAAGGGAAATAGTGACCTTGAGACCTTGTGTACCATTAACCATGACTAAATCTATTACTAACGCGTTATCTTCGTAGGTAATAATCTAAATTGATTCGCAAAAGATAACGAAGATAATGTAAAGTAAAATAAAATGTATTGTAGAAAATATTTCACGTTAAACTAATTTTACAACAAGTGCATAAAATGAAAAATGAATCAAACATAATTTTGTAATGACATCGATGTTAAAAATATTTCATACAATACTGTTTTCTAGATGGTGATCGAAATATTTTGCAACAACTTTGTACGAACGATATCAACCCCGAAGAGGCTGAGACCGAACATACAGTACTAGAGGCATGGGAGGGTGCACCGGCAATAATCAACGGTACACCCCCC